GTGTTTATGGCATTATTTTGGAAATGCCAAGAAACTGGCTTTGGCCATAATATTTGCTGTCCAACTAAATCACAGCTGTCAATAGGCAATTGCTTGCGATGATTAGCTAAACACCATTATTTGACAAGTTCCCTGACAAGGGACGCAGATGCTGTCGATGTCTGACACACGGAATTAGTAAGTAATAGTCCACCCGGCTGGGCTGCAGAGCAGGGAGAGAAGGTGGTACATTGTTGCCCAGGGAAGGGGTTTCAAACAGCCTTAAGTTTTTGAAAACACACGTTTGTACAGATCCTACAAGTCCTTTCTGGTGTTTCAGGAATGACTTGTGGGATGGACCACAGAGAAGGGGAAAAGCCACTAACTCTAGATTCATTTTTTAACAGGAGATTAAGGGAGGGAGGAAGAAAAACAGAAATGGGAATGTGGGATGGTAATGGTTTCCACCACCTAGAAAAGGAACATCATGGAACCTGCTAGCAACATCCACCAAAGCAGGAAACCCCTTCGCTGGCAGAGATTCAGCACAACATTCACATGAATTAGCAACGCCACCAGCACTAAGGGCTGCTGTTTAAAGAAACAATATTCAAAAACAGAATTCTCAAAGGATTTGAGAAGAACAGAGTGAAAAGGCAATGCTAGCTAAGCTTCTAGCTAAGTCCACTCTTAATGGCCCCCAGTATTTAAACTATCATGGAGTAAAGCCATGAAAATAAAAATTTCAATTTGAAATTTTATTAGCATGTTGCTAAAATGGTCAATAAAAACATCAACACGATATGCTTGGTTGACATAGTTGGAGCACTGCCCCCTCATTTTTTAAAACGTTATTTGCACTTCCCCACCTTCTAAGATTTCTATGTTAGGAAAAGCCAAACTAAACAGACCTGCGCTGGCATTGTCATAATGCTGGTTTCTGGAACATTCCCTCGTCGTTCCCTCTCCCTCTCCTCCAACCCCTTTAGAAATAGGATGGTTTTTGAAATGCAGCCCAAGGAGGGAGCAAGGTAGGGTGAAGAGCAACAAGCGCCCTTCTCCTTGCCTGGGCCGGGCCTGCACCATTTCCCTCTGGGGAAGGGGACTCGGAAGGCTTCCCTCCCGTCAGGCTGGGGGGGCCTCACAGGGAATGCGGGTGGGAGGGGGTGGCGTGCGCTTCCCCGGGTGGAAATCATAGGAAACAAACACTGTCTAGCTTAGCCCGCAGCCGGGAATACAAAACCCGCGGGCCTCAGGGCTGGAGAGCTGGAACAGTCCCGGGCAGCTCGGGGTGACCCGGAGTCCCGAGGTGCTCTCTCCTGGTGGGATGATTCACAAGTGCTTAAGGGACAGGCTCGATTTCTTGGAAATCCTGCAATCTGGGGACACATCCAGGCCGGAGTGAACTGCGCCCTGAAAAGATCCACCCTCGCCTCCGACAGGTCTTTTGGCGCCTTTGGGGGCGGGGATGGTGCCTCTCTAGTAGGTGGGGAGGTCGTTTCTGAGCAGTGACTCCTGGGGGCAGGCGAGTCCCTGCTCCCCTCGGCCCATCCTCCCTCTCCAGCTTCTAACGCGAGGGGAAATGCACACTGGCTCCCAGCAGGATCGCCGCCACGGGGGTCTCCGCCGCGCGCGGCTGTCCGTGCAGTCCAGTCCCGTGGCCGGTTCCTGAGACTTCGGGCCACTGGCTAGAGGGGCGCGCGGGGGCCGCTTGGGCGCTGGCCCCCCGCGGCGGCGGCAGGTGCAGGGGAGGA